AATGAAAAAAAAAATACTAAAATAATGTGGTGTCCAGTAGCGTACTAATAATCGCCCATTTTCGGAATTATTTATTATTGGCTCACCGAATTTTACATTCAAAGGTGCATAATTTTAAAAATAATCATTTGAAGTTTCATTTGTTTAGTTCACTTTAATCATTTACATATTATTAAGAAACCACTTTCTCAAAATTTTGATATTTGCCTTTGTTTTTAAAATATCGTTTATTTAACATAACCATATTCATTTTCTCAACTTTTTCGTTCTTACCGGTGAATTTTTTTAGCAATTGTCATACCTTTCAACCAGCGTATTTACTGTGATTAAAAATATCGAATACTTCAATGATATGCTGTACAGTGGCGTGCAAACAGAAATTATTATTTTTCATTAAATCAATTTTATCAACAATTGTTATATCTTTCGATTAGCTTATTTTCATGATTAAAAATTTCGAATACCTCAATGATATGCTGTACAGTGGCGTGCTAATAATTATTTAAACCACTGATAAAATTTAAATATTCAGAACCGATTTCGTTGTGGTGAGAGAAAACCCGAACTTTTATTACTTGCTAATTTTCTTTATAGCTTCATGTTTAATGGTATTTCAATTAAAAACTCTTCCACTAATCGTGCAGTATCAAAAAATAAAGTTAAGGATGGCAAATTACATTATCTGCCAAAAAAAAAATTATATGAATAACGTTACCTAATGCTTCTTTAAGTTGATTTAAAACAAAACACAAAAAGTGTTCCTATAGGTTTTTTACGTTATATTTAGGATAACGTCGTAGAACAAGGACTGACAATGTTGTCAATGCCTTTTTTTTTCCTTATAATTTACCAGAATGTAATAATAAATTATCAAGACCACTGACAGCTAAAAATAACAAAATGAATCGACACGTGTTATTTATTTGAAAATATTTATTCAAATCATACAACGTCGCGCGCCGTTGTCAACCGGTAACATCTGAAATTCCCCTACTTTAAATGCGTTAAGGAGTACTTTCAGTTTAGTTAGGTAGAACGTATCAAAATAAGTGAACTAAAAAACTAATCAATCTAAGATTCAATAACAACAACAAAGTGACCTAAAAGTTGAGTAATAAACAACGTAAACTAAAAAAATTAATAAAGAATGGCAGATAATCAAAGTTATAGTTAGTAAACCTTCTCCTCACATTCAGAACCTCTTGGCATCGCCGGCCGTGGCATGTTGTCAACCAAGAGATTAATGAATGCCTGACGAATATTTTGCCACTCTTCTTCTATGGCAAGTGCGAACTCATCCAGCGTTTGGGAGCATTTTCGCGCGATCGTACCAGTAACTCAAGCTGATACCACACAAGATCAGGATATTTTGGAGGCAGGTGTAACTGTTCCATGTTATGGTCCCCCAAAAGCTCCTAAACAATTCTTGCGTTGTGTTGTCTCGCATTATCGTCATCTTGTGTGATCTTGTGTGATCCTGATCTTGTGTGGTCTCAGCTTGAGTTACTGGTATGATCGCGCGAAAATGCTCCCAAACGCTGGATAAGTTCGCACTTGCCATAGAAGAAGAGTGGCAAAATATACCTACCTCAGGCATTCATTAATCTCTTGGTTGACAACATGCCACGGCGATGCCAAGAGGTTGTGAATGTGAGGGGAGGGCTTACTAGCTATTAATTGAATAACTTTGATTATCGGCCGTTCTTTATTAATTTTTTTAGTTTACGTTGTTTATTACTTAACTTTTAGGTCACTTTGTTGTTGTTATTGAATCTTACTTTGATTAGTTTTTTAGTTCACTTATTTTGATTCGTTTTACCTAGGTATCTACCTAACTAAACTGAAAGTACTTCTTAACGCATTTAAAGTAGGGGAATTTCAGATGTTACCGGTTGACAACGGCGCGCGACGTTGTATGATTTGAATAAACATTTTCAAATATACACGTGTAGATTCATTTTGTTATTTCTAGCTGTTAGTGGTCTTGATAATTTTTTATTAGATTCTGGTAAATTATAAGGAGAAAAATAGGCATTGACAACATTGTCAGTCCTTGTTCTACGACGTCATCCTAAACATAACGTAAAAAACCTATAGAAACACTTTTTGTGTTTTGTTTTCAATCAACTTAAAGAAGCATTAACGTTGTTCATATAATTTTTTGTTTGGCAGATAATGTTATTTGCCATCCTTAACTTTATTTTTTGATACTGCTACGATTAGTGGAAGAATTTTTAATTGAAATATCTTTAAACATGAAGCTACAAAGAAAATTAGCAGGTAATAAAAGTTCGTTTCCTGTCACCACAATAAATCGGTTCCGAATATTTAGATTTTATCAGTGGTATAAATAATTATTAGCACGCCACTGTACAGCATATCATTGAGGTATTCGAAATTTTTAATCAAAAAAATAAGCTAATCGAAAGATATAACAATTGCTAATAAAATTGATTTAATGAAAAATAATAATTTCTCTTTGCACGCCACTGTACAGCATATCATTGAGGTATTCGATATTTTTAATCACAGTAAATACGCTGGCTGAAAGATATGACAATTGCTAAAAAAATTCACCGGTAAGAACGATTCGGGATGGTTTAGAACGCAAAAGTTGAAAAAATTAATATGGTTATGTTAAATAAACGATATTTTAAAAACAAAGGCAAATATCAAAATTTTGAGAAAGTGGTTTCTTAATAATGTGTCAATGATTAAAGTGAACTAAACAAATGAAACTTCAAATGATTATTTTTAAAATTATGCACCTTTGAATGTAAAATTCGTTGAGCCAATAATAAATAATTCCGAAAATAGGCGATTATTAGTACGCTACTGGACACCACATTATTTTAGTTTTTTTTTTTCATTGAAAATAAACCAGGATATCGTGAGGTATATCAAACAGCAGCATAAGATGCAAGATTTATTGTACAGGATGGTTCAGGTGCTTAAAAGTTGAAAAAATTGGAGGTTATGAAAAAAAACGATATTTTTAAAACTAAGGCAGGTATAAAAAAATTGAGAAATTACTTTTTTTGCAGAAGATCATTGATTAAAACGCCGCATAGAAATAAAATTTAAAAAATTATCTGAGAAAGTTACACACATTCAAAATTGGGATGAAAATCATGGACACTTTTAACACCCTGTATAAAAAAAAAGTAGACATTTAAAAAAATTTCAGAATAGCAATTTTTTTCACAAAAAGTAAATCTGTCAGCCCGTGAAAACTGCAGGTCGATATCTAGTCTGGTTCCAAAAATATCGAGCTTGAAAATTAGGCGATATTTCCCTTGTTCGAAAGCAATTGTCCAGCAGTTTAGATAAAAGCTGCCTGAATTTGGCAACACTGCTTGACGGCAAAAGACAAAAATACCTAGTTTTTACAAATTCAATTCACACAGTTCCCACTTCTGCCTAGACGTAATTTGTTTACTAAAAATACTATTATTCATGATGGCAGCACGAATCAATTTATGCATTTCTTGGCTACACCGATAATATTTGATTTTATTGAAAAAACATAAAACATGAGAATAGTAAATAGTATTTTATTTAATTTACATAAAAATAACTTTTTATATTAGTTTTAAGTAAAGATAATTATTGTTAGTACAAATATGGGCCTATGATGTATCCTCTCCTGGTATTTTAACAGTTGTGTTATAGCTCAAAATCTATACCTGTTTCTATTTTTAGGTGTAGAATAAACTGTTAACATAACAGAAAATGATACATCATAGGCCTGATTGTCAGGAGTTTTTCTGGGTATCTTCCTGTATAGTAATTTCTGAGACAACTATTTTTAGTCATCATTTGGGGAAGTGTTTTTCAGAAGGATATGACAATCCCTAAAAACAGATACATAGTTATATTTACAGTTTACACATAACTTCAACTGTTAACTGACAAAATAACTTTTGTCAATCCCACTGACCAATCTTGTTATTTCTTGATTTTTCACAAACCTTCTTCTAAAAAGGTTACCAAAAGTAAGACTGATCGGACACCTGAGAAGCCCCTAAGTTATCTGTTAAGAATGATTAAATGTTTGTTCGTTATTCCTACATTGACTGAACTTACACTGCAATATTTAAAGTTATCTTTTGTTCTGGGAACATTGATGTAAATGACATGAGGTTTATTTCTGCAACGTCACAAACCAGTCAGGGTCAGTCTAAAAGCATCTTTTGATTAATTATTGAAAGCTACACTTACTACATTAAATATAAGGAGAAATTACTCAAATAGACTTTGAATTTGTAAAGTCCCTTACAATCCATTAGATTGTCAGCCTAGTAAAGAAGTTGATGGATTTTAGAAATCTAAGCTTCTGATTGATCATGATAGGGAAAGCTCAAATGGGTTAAGACTTGATATTTTTGCAGATAACGGAAAACAAACCATTAAATTAAAAACTCAATTAAACTACCCATATCAAGGTCGTACAGCCAAATAAGTGTGCTGGTACTTTTATTTTCATTTAATGGTGATTAACTTAATCCCAGGTACTTAGTTATACAAATCCATCAACATCCTTTAAACATGTTAAAAAGAAAAATAACCCTCATAAGTTAGATTCTTTACTTTAAGTATAGGGGTCATTATTGCAGCAATTAAACTTAATTTTTTGAGAAATTAAGGGTAATTTTCTATCTGTATGCCTTATTCACCTAATATACAAAAAAATTGCATATGAAGTTTACAAACTTTTAATAAAATACACCTAAAAAAAATATCAACAACCATATTTCTAAACAATAACTTAAACCAATAATTTTTTTGTCAATTGGTGCGGTGATCATTAACTTAACAAGGTCGCGCACGTGTTCTTGGCAAAAGACTGAGCAACTATAAAAGGTATGGCCAAATTAGCGAACCTTGAACACACATTTCCTTGACTTGGACCAGCTGTGTTGTTTTTGTAAAGTTAGGGCCCCTTTACATTTGAAGCTGGGGGTCCATATTAATTATAATTTTTACTTTAAGTTACTTACAATCTGCTAGAAGGTTCAAACGATTCGTCTCCCTCGATCCTGTACACTTTGCCGGACATTACATATTCGAAACTGTCCATTCTGGAGCCTTCGGTGTCCAAGCCTTGCGGGTTCCAGTCTCCGCTGTCAGGGTATCCATCTTCACGCAGAGTTGTTGCCAAAACAAGACGGAATTTGTCACCTAGAAAGAAGAGACTTTTATTTGAATGCGGCTTCGTAACATTGTCAAGAATATAATATTAAAATGTTAGGAAGAATGGACTTTTTTCTTTACAAAAATGTATAGTTTTAGGAATTGCATTTAAGGTTTGAAACATAGCTTCATGAAGAGCTGTTGAATCCATAGATATAGACTGTGATGAACTCGTTCCTGTTATTTTAATACCAATTTTAAGTTACAATAATGAATAATTGACTAGTTCACAATAGGGAAAAATTCTCGAGGAGTTAAATTTAGGAAAAAATATGATACCAAGAGTTGGTTTCAGATACAATTTTGCCTGGCTATTTGATGTAATAACAAGGAATTTTGAAAAAAAAAAGATGTAGAAGGGTAAAGATTAACTCGGTGGAATAAAAAAAATCGTTGATATACATAATTACCTCCCACGCCCTTAAAAATCAAAATTACACAATTAACAAGACCCAGCAGGGTCAAAAATGTTGCCACGCACAAATACAATAAAATTATTAACAGGCAAAAATGTTGCATGTTTGTTACCAAACAAATATGCAACTGTATCGGCGGTTGCGCCCTGACGTCACAACGGCGATTATTTATAATTCAAGTTCAAGGCTATCAGCCTGTATTCTACATAGTATGTAATGGTAATGTTTGCTTTGTAGAATGTATTCATATTTAGCGGGAATTGACATATTGATTAGTTTTTATAGGAATTTTTTTAGAATTTTTGAAATAATTTCCTCACCAATAATAATTATTGCTCACTAAAGTATGCAGTGGCCACGTCAAAGTTCTGACACCTTGGTTGAAAAATGGGTTTAACTGAATAATTGAATTTTTTGGGGATTGGAAAACACGACATGAAGCTTGTGACTATTTCAATAATAAATATACCAATAGAGAATTATCATAATCTAGATGTAAACAATGTAGGTAAGTATTACATAACTTTGTGCGTTAATTTAGAAGAAAAATGTGAGGATGCACCTGTAATGAAGATTACAACGACCTATATATTTTACATTAAAATCTAAATACCTACATAGAGAAAAAAAACTGATACTGATAGAGAAAAATACAAACTGTTATTAAAACGATCAGTGGAGGAAAGATGTCAGATTTGATTCCAGATTGGCACACGTTAACAAGGCTCTGGAAGCTGATGGGATCAGTATTGAAGCACTGATCTGCAATAAGAGTACTACAGTTACGTAACAGCTTTGATAAAGCTATCAAATAATATGTTTCAAGCTTCTGAGTCATCTGAGTGACAGAAGCTCACATCACAATCACTATAAGAGACATTCAACAACCATTTACTTTATTTTTGGTAATTTCAAAATGTTTTGGATAAGGTCCTTGTAATTTGTATTTGGAAGTACTTTGGATGGGAAAAGTTGTTCACATCCAAAAAATTCATTGTTTGGTGCTCCTAGGGACTAATTTTGGTCTCATTGCGACCCTTTTTAGATAGTGACTATTTTTAATTAATAAAAAGTACGTTGACTATTTTTAATTATTGCAAAGTTCATTTTTATGCCAATAAAACTTAAATCTGCAAGTCCAGACCAGTACAGATGGCAGATGACTATTTGTTCTAAGAGTGTCAGAATTGCGCTGTCTAGGTTGGACCCAAATAAGTCAATGGTTCTTGTTTTGGGGATCTATACCCAGACAGCACACAAAGTCTCTAAGACGTCTTTTTCAGGTCTGCATTGTATCTGAACGCCTGATGACAAAAAAAAAAGACATTCACAGGATGTCGAAAATTCACATCTTAAAGACAAATGAACCACACAATTTGGTAAAACCGGCAGGCTTATTCTCTACGAACAGCAATTTCATAGCAACCAGCAACCGGTCGCAAGTTGCTTTTTTCAAATAGAAAATTCGCGTTTGACAGCGACTGGACAGCGACGATTGCGCAATTCTCTGCGGTCGCAAGTTACAGAATAAGGCTGCGGGCCTAAAAGTGAATAATGGTTTATGTATTAAAAAGAGATTTAAAGTCGTTTTTAAGATATCGAATGTCTTAGAAAAATGTCATGGAAACGTTTTCAGGCAGAAGTTTAAAAGACGTTGGGGTTTGTAACATACGAAGTCTTTAAGATGTGAACACGTAAGCGGACGCCTAAAAAACGTCTCGAATGTCGTTTGCGGACATCTTAGGGTCGTTTTCAAGATGTCTACAAAAACTTCGTTTCTCATTCAATTAAGAAGTTACTGGAAATCATTTAAAATGCTACAGAATACTTTAGAAAATTGATAAGTCCTTTGGAAAATTCAGAACACTTAAAATTCAATTCAGAATTTCCAAAAGCATTCTGTAGCGCTTCAGAACAATTTGGAAACTTCAGATCCATTTTAGAATGCTCCAAAACACCATAGCCGATTTACAATTTCCAAAACAATTCAGAAGTTTGAAACCCATTATAGGACGCTCTAAAACACTCAAACACTAGAATCTCCAGAAACATTTTGAAAAACGGGAATCTTAGCATTCACGTTAAAAATTACAAAACGCCTTTCAAAACGCGTTCAAGAGGGGTCAGTTAAGTTAGCCCCCCCCCCATAGAAAATTTCTGGATGAAAATTATCCCATAATTTTGCTCTCATTTTGCTCCACTTATTTCGATTTTTGCTCCATTACAATGGAGAGGCTATGTGGCCTATTAGGTGGGGGGGGGGGCTGAATTACCGCTAGCCCCCCCCCCCAGTGAAAATTCAGAAATTTGATCATGCTCATTTTGTTCTCCTAGTTTTGCTCCATTTTGCTCCATTATCGGCGAATTTTGCTGCATTACCAGGAGAGACCTACAGAGCTCCCAAGAATCTCTCCCAGCCCCCCCGGTAAAAATTTTGAAATTTGAACATGCTCATTTTGTTCTCCGAGTTTTGCTCCATAATCGGTGAGTTTTGCTCCATTACCAGGAGAGACCTACAGAGCTCCCAAAAATCTCTCCTAGCTCCCCCCCCCTGGTGAAATTTTTAAAATTTGAACATGTTCAATATTTATTTTGTTCTCCGAGTTTTGCTCCGTTTTGCTCCATTATCGGCGAGTTTTGCTTCATTACCAGGAATGACCTACAGAGCTCCAAAATATCTCTTTTTACCCACCAATGAAAATTTTGAAACTTGAAATTACTCATACCGAGTTTTGCTCTATTTTGCACTAATAGGGCTTCTTACGGGCTCTGTTGGTCTATTTGTACCAAAGTTACACCAGTCTGCACCAGGTGCACCAAAAAGTCAGTTTGTCTCTGTCAGACCCATACAAAAAAAAAATATAGGGATAAACCTCGGATAAACAAACAAAACTAGTGAAACCAGGGACCACCGTTCTCTTCCTGACCATTATACTCAAAGCGCTTTGCACTCAAATGCTTGAAAATCAGTTACAGGTGCATCAGGGGAAACAGGCGAGGAAAGTGAGAGCAGTTTGAGAGTGCCAAGCTCTGTTCGCTCGAATGTGTATTTCAAAATTTTCACTGGGGAACAAGAAGAGATTCTTTGGAGCTCTGTAGGTCATTCCTGGTAATGGAGCAAAACTCGCCGATAATGGAGCAGAACGGAGCAAAACTCGGAGACCAAAATGAACTTGTTCAAATTTGAAAAAAATTCACCGAGAGGGGGGGGCGGCTAGGAGAGATTTTTGGGAGCTCTGTAGGTCTCTCCTGCTAATGGAACAAAACTCGCCGATTATGGAGCAAAACTCGGAGAACAAAATGAGCATGATCAAATTTCAAAATTTTCACTGGGGGGGGGGGGGGGGGGCTGGGAGAGAGTCTTCGGAGCTCTGTAGGTCATTCCTGGTAATGGAGCAAAACTCGCCGATCATGGAGCAAAACTCGGAGAACAAAATGAGCATGATCAAATTTCAGAATTTTCACTGGGGGGCTGGGAGAGATTCTTCGGAACTCTGTAGGTCTCTCCTGGTAATGGAGCAAAACTCGCCGATAATGGAGCAAAATGGAGCAAAACTCGGAGAACAAAATGAGCATGATCAAATTTCTGAATTTTCACTGGGGGGGCTAGCGTCCCCCACCTAATAGGCCACATAGTCTCTCCACTGTAATGGAGCAAAAATCGAAATTAGTAGAGCAAAATGGAGCAAAATGAGAGCAAAATTATGGGATAATTTTCATCCAGAAATTTTCTATGGCTGACCCCTTTAAGAGCGGATTTAAATTGCTGTAGTACTTTAAACCTTCAATAAGCAGCGTCGGAATTTTTAGGAGCATTTTGGGACAATTTAGAAACTTCAGAGTTATTTCAGAACAATTAGGATGCAAATCTTTTTGAATCAACTTTGGAGCTTCAATAAGGCTCTGCTCTAAAATACTCATACAGAAATCTGTCAGAACAATTTAGAAATTACTGAAACACTTCTAAAATGTTCCAGAACTTTTCAAGCCAAGTTAGAACACTTTAGAACTTTAATGAGCCATTTAGAACGTTCCAAAACCCTTTCCAGCACCATTTTGAAAGGCTAAAAGACATCTTAAATGTCCTTTGTGGACATCTTAGGGACGTCTTTAGGATGTCTCTGTGCTGTCTGGGTAGGTAACTTTTTGTCCTATAAGATTCATCCAAGTTCAACACTTACGCTTCCGTTTTGCTGTTCAGTTTCGTCTACGCGCCTTGTATATAGTTGTAGGTTAAATTGGGGATTTAGGATGTCAAATCCTATTTGGGAATGGAAATTGATTCGTTTTTTTTTTCTTTATTTTTGTTTTCTCTTATTATAATTGAATTAGGCCCTAGTTGACGTCACGGACATAACCTTATTTCCGTTGGGGGGACAAACAAAGCGTTTGAAAGATCTATTCAACACACAGGCGCTAACTTGTCACCAATGACATAACGTGACTTTTGCTGACTTTCGATAGGGGGACAAACATGCCATTGACGTTATGTGTGTGACGTCAATTAGCACCTAATTGCGCGTGCTTTATGCCTAGGAATGTGATACGGCTTTGCTGAATTTGGCTTTTGAA